ATTAGCCTATCTGAATTATTCGCTGTTAGGAAATGATTACAAACAAAAAGTTAATGTATTTATAAAAAATGCACTCTTATCACAAAATTAAATTATAAATTATAAAAAAAAATAGTGAAGTTAAGAGAAAATCATATTCTAACAAAATCAGAAGCAAAATGTTATGGTCGTCGAGGAGATTCGAACCTGGGATCTCACGATCGTCAGTCCGGTACTCTAGCCACTACACCACCAACGCTGTTTAATTAACGGCGTCAACACGATATTTCTGTTCCGCAATCCCAGTAACTGGCGCGGCAACCAATAATGCTTTTTAACATATGTGAAAATATTTCCACGATCCCAGTGGCTCACCCAAACCCCTCACTACAATAATAGCGTAGCGAACGAACTTCAACCAGGACATGATTGAGCCATGCGAATACTATGAAGTTAAACGGGGCAAAGCCCGCGGGTACAGCTAGTCCCATATAAGTGAAGCAGAAGTAGGCCTAAGCCTACCATTGACTTTGGATACTGCAATTAGGCATTTTATTTATGTGAACAAAATAAATTGTCCATTGATTTAGGATACTGCAAGTAGACTATTCATTTACATGTACCATTGAGTTTGGATACTACAAGTAAACAATCCGTCTACGTGAACCAGACGTACCATTGACTTTAGAATCTGTAAATAGGCATTCCATTTATGCGAACCAAATATATCATTTGCATTGGATACTGCAAGTAGACATTTAACTTATGAGAACCGGATAAAACATAGAATATGGTTCCTGCAAGTAGACAATTCATTCACTTAATCCTGACTTTTATTTATTTATTTATTTATTTCCCAACGGATTGCACCTTTTTACAAAATATGTGTATACAATTGAGATGGCATTTGCAATATTACTAACTAGAAAAGTAATAACAATGGTAATAACAAAGTGATAATAAATAGTAATAGCAAGTAATAACAAATAGTGATAACAATAGTAATAACAAATAGTGATAACAATAGTAATAACAAAGTAATAACAAATATTAATAACAGAAGAATAAACTAAAAAGAGAATCAACAAAGAATATGAACAGCAAGTTTCAACAATGACAAGACAAAATGCAGATGTGCTGGAGTGTGGTTGCTCAAGTGATCAGGGAGACCTTCTTTTTGAACCGGAGGGGCTTCTCACCGAAGAAATCCAGTTGAGCAGCCGCCGTGCTACCAGCCTTGAGTAGACGGCTAATTCCGCTGTTGTAAGAGTAGTAGGCTGGGAGAAAGCGTCTGCTGAATATAGTCCTGGAGCGGGTGCCTCTGGGCGTGGTAATGTCGATACCACTCAGGATGTTGGGGCAATCGACAAACCCATTAACCAGCTTGTAGAGCATGAATATGTCGGCATGATGACGTCGGAGTGACAAAGGCAGAAGATCGAAGGACTTCTCCACATCGTCAACCGGGGTAGTGCGGTAGGTAAAACCAAGTCTCGGTCCAAGCATCCGTATGAAGCGGGTTTGTATGCTCTCCAGTTGGCTGACGTGGTTCTTCTGGAAGGGAGACCAGATGATAGACCCATACTCCAGCAGCGGGCGTACCAGGGACTTGTAGAGCGTGATCAAGGTGAAGGGTGAGTTGAAATTCCTTGTTGATCTAAATATGAAACCAAGCAGGGAGCTAGCTTTGGTTGTAATGTGGGCAATGTGCTCGTGAGGGTTGAGCGAAGGGGTCATTGTCACTCCGAGATCTCGTACCCTGTCCACTCTCTTCAGTGTAGAACCATTGAGGACGTAGTCATATTGGACTGGGGCTGCACCACGTTTGTAGGAGATGACGACACATTTCAAGACGTTGAGCTCCATGAAGTTTTCCTTGCACCAGGCGTCGATGTTAGTGAGAGAAAGTTGGAGGCGCTCAAAGTCAGAAGCCAATGACACCGAGCCAAATACCTTAATATCATCGGCGAACATGAGAAATGAACATGATACTGAGGATGACGTTGCCAATGTCATTCATGACCAGGTTAAACAGCAAGGGACCGAGGTGGGACCCTTGCGGGACTCCAGATAGGACACTGAATGGCGTAGAAAGGCACCCGTCGTACTTGACTACAAGGGTTCTGTTGGTCAAGTAGCTGTTTAACCACTCAAGCAGGCCCCCCCCCCACACCATATCCGGCAAGCTTTGCTACAAGGATGTTGTGGTTGACCTTGTCAAAGGCTTTGGAGAGATCAAGGTAAACACAGTCAACTTGGAGAGCATCGCCAAAAGCGGCCATGACGTATTCTTGAAACTCCATCAGGTTTGTTACTGTTGAGCGTGAGCGCAGGAAGCCATGTTGAGAGGAGGAGATACATTTACGGAGATGAAAATAGAGGTAGTCCAAAACAATGCTCTCGTACACCTTGGCAACAGCAGAGAGAATGACAATGGGCCGATAGTTTCTGACATTTGAACGATCACCAGATTTGAAGATGGGGACGACAAAGCCACGCTTAAGGGCCGATGGGAAGATTCCAAGTGAGAGCAGGGATGTAAACCAGATAGCCAGATGAGGAGCCAAAATAGGGGCACAGTATTTAAGAACGCACGGAGGAATAGCATCAGGACCGGCTCCCTTATTAGGGTCAAGCGAGGCAAGTTTGAGTTGAACGTCTGAGGCAGTGATGACACATTTAGTGATGGAGAAGTTCCAGCCAAAGTCGAAGACAGGCGAGGGAATTTGGTTCTCCGTGAAGATGGATGAAAAGTAGTTTGAGAATAGTTCGCACTTTCCGGCAGCACACTCAGCTTCTCTACCATCAAATGATAGTTTAGCAGCAGGGGATGGACTGCTCTTGAGTCTGTTGACGTGAGACCAAAACGATTTTATGTTATGAGGAATGTCGTCTTCAATTCTTTTTAAGTAGTCTTGATGACACTTGGTGGCTAAAGACTTGCACTGGCTTCTCAAATTGCGAAAACTTTCACGATGACGAAGATTTCCTGAGGTTTTAAGAAGTCGATGGGTGGCCTTCTTCCTTAAGACAATTCTTATGACAGCAACTTATGATTGACTTTGGATACCTACTGCTAATAGGCATTCTATTTAAAATGCGAACCAAATTTTATATCATTGACATTGAATTAATATGCTGGCACCGCTCAATATTGCAAGCAGACAACTGCATTGTACACCTAGTTTATTATTTGGCAATAAGTTTGATAAAGTACATAAAAAACATGTTAAATAACAAAAAAAATTTTTGAAATACTGTACAAAATACAAAACAATAATACAGTATACAGTATATCATCCATACACGGAACTACATTTATTGTGTATAATGTCTGCTTAAAGCAAACATTAGTCAAACTCTTTATGTATACTGTAAAAACAAGCTACTGTAACAACAAAAATACTGAATAGGTACAGTGACGTAGCCAGGGGGGGGGTCCAGAACCCCACCAATAAATCTTAAATATAATATTTTTTTGGTAAATTAAATGTAAAACTATATAATCATACTATATTGACATTAAAGTTTATTATTTTCAATGCAAAGAGAGCTAAAAAAAAAACGTTTTAGGGCCTATATTTTTAAAAATTTTCTTGGGCCCCCCTTTTATCTTTTTTTGTGACCCCCCAGTCAGTCGACCCCCCTATTTTGAAATCCTGGCTACGTCACTGAGGTACAACTGTACATACAAAAATATGTAGAGAGTAATATTTAAAGGGAAAATACAGTGCTGTACTAGTGTAATTTAAATACTAAACAAAATTAAATGTAAAAACTATCTCAACAACTGGCAGACTACACTGACTACAGAACTTAGCCAAACAGACACAAGAAGCAAACACAGGAAGTTGGATTTTCATGTCTCAACAGGAATCAAAACACCACTGACTTGCACTGTTAAGGCAAAACTTCCAATTATTGAGGCACATTCGTGCGAACTTCAACTTATAAAGGTAAACTTTGAGTTACTGAGGCTCGATGACGGGAAAATTTGAGTTACAGAGGTAGAATGTTACTGTTCAAAAATGGTTAAAATTCAACTTATTGAGGTAAAATATTTAGAAACTTCGATTTATAAAGGTACTTTTAACATTATCTATATAATTAATACGCTACATGAAACTTTGTCGGTTGAACTCCTCCGCCATTTCTTAACCGATTTTATCCATTGATGTCTCATTGGAAAGAGCGTGTCGCGTAGATTTGCAAACTGACCTTACATTTTTGAAAAGTCCCTCGGGCTCTGCCCCAGTGGCTGTTAAAGTTCCCATGTTATCCTTATGAAGAACATAATAATTGTTTACATTTTGATCCGCTGTATAATTTAATTGCTGTTATTTATTTTTCTATTCAAAGTCTTAAACTCATCGGAAATTATGATGACTTTTATTTTTTTTTTTATAACTACTATACTTCGTTGCAATTGCTCGATTTCGAGCAACGTGTTTACTAGTTATGATTAATGTGGATTTCAAGGGGATTAAAAAAAATTGAGATATTGAGGAATTTGAGATATTAAGGTTTGAGCAATTGAGGTTCTACTGTATCGTTGTTCTTTATATCAAGGTTAGACTGTAAATGTGATACATTTCCGGACGGTACATAACATGGACAAACTTTTAATAGTCTTTTAAATAGGGTAGAGCAATAATTAGTGTACACTTTAAATTGATGTCTACAAATTTGAATTTTAACACCCCTCCCCCTCATACATTTAACAGTCTAATACTTGCAAATATAATACTTAAATACGCAAATACTTTTAAATACTTTAAAATACTACAGTTTAAATAACAGTAATCATCCATGTAAACTTAAATGCTTACAACAAAAGTACAAGCAAGTGTTAATACAACATTTCATTTAGGCCTACGATTTACTTTATAGTGGTCGTATGATTAAATCATGAGTAAAAGGTTTCTTTCAAATAGTAACTACTGAAATTATTTATCCTCAGGGATATATTGCTTGATACAATAGAATAGATACAATTATAAAACGATCAAACTTGTTTTCAGGGGCGGACTGATCTTTTCAGGATCATTCATTGTAACAGCAGCTCTGGTCATGCACATCAGAAAATCTAACTGAGTGAGTATTGAAATAATATTACTAGATCATTAGGTAATTTTTGTTATGAAATGTTGAGAAATTAAGTTATTATAATATTTTTCCTACAGTTACCTAACAATGTACATGTTCTCTCACTCATTTGAGAAAGCAAAGTGGCCAATTCGCTCATCAGTGAGACAATGTTAACATTGTCTCACTCTAATTACTTTGTCTCACTCCAGATTTGCAACGTGAAGGCACGAAATAGTGAGCGCGTAACATGCAGATAAGGTCGTATGCGCGCGAAATACGTTGGCAGCACTGGCTGTAAATCAGCTGGTCAGCTGTTGTACTGTTGTGTCATTAAATGTCATATTAAAAGTTCACTTCTGTGTAAAAATATGTCACGTTTCTTTACCAATTTATTTGTTTTATGGTAACTATAGGAAAAATATAATGTGCAACTTGAGTGCAAAGTGCAATTGCCTCACTCGAGAAACCATTCCTCTCGTGTAAGTATTTCTCTCGAGTGAGTCAATTGCTCCCTTTGCTCACTAGTTGCACAAATAACTATTAATCTCAAAAGGGCAAAATATGACTGGCTCAGGAAAATACATGTTACGTACTTATTGAATTAAATAATTATAACACATATTTGTAAGAACTAAAAATAAAGTCTTGTTTTTATTCATTTCTCAATCTCAGAATTGTAAAAGCTACATCAGCTGTAAATAGAAACAAAGTTAATTAATGAGTCCAGACTAATAGATATAATAATATATAACAGTTCTCCCCAACTTGACTTCAACGTTAGTTCATCATTCACTTGCAACAACTACATTTCTTAGAATTCCTTATTCTCGAAGATCGTCTTAACTGCAATGGTGGTTGGTTATGAATAGGTGGTTCTACAATATTTTTTAATAAATGCTGAAGGTTCCTCAATGTTTTGTTGGTCAGCACCTATAGGTGGCTCTGACATTGTGTAATCCATGTTTGATCCAGATGTGGTTATCGCTGAGGAATCCATTGGAGGCTGAGGTAAGATTTGAGGAGAAAAGGAACTTGATGGTGCAGTATCTCCTAAAGGTGTGTTCCATGGCAAGACATTTTTGGAGAGCTACAAACATTTGTTTGACTTGGTATAATTTGGGTTGCTTCTTGGTATCTATGAAAATATCTTGGTGTTTTTGATAACCCATATTAGCTTCAACCTGTGTTTTTCTGAGCTGGTTAATATGTCTCTTTATTTTGTTTTGATTGTCTAATAAGATGATATTAACGCTGTAAAACTGTACGGAATTTCCACTGTGTAGATCCTACATAGTTTCTGGCTTGAACTCTATCTCCTGGATTTAGTAATCTTATTTTGGCAGAATGATCATCAGGTATTTTTCTTGTTATATTTCCCATAGGACATATGAGATGTAACCTAGTACGTATAGTCCTGTTCATAAATAGTTCTGCAGGCGTTTTACCATTGTTAAGAGGGCTTGAGCGGTACTTTAATAAGAAAAGATTCAGCTTTTCCATCAGACTTCCTGTATCTTCAGTCATTGTTTTGAGTTTTTGTTTCAAGTTTTGTACTGATCGCTCAGCCAGACCATTTTTTGCAGGATGGTTTGGTGCACAGAAATGTTGTATTATCCCGTTATCCTGACAGAATTTAGTGAACTTATCAGACTTGAATATAGAAGCATTGTCAGAAAGTTTTCATGCGCCCCGAGCTGACCCAACTTATGTTTCTGATCACCACTATCTGTCTGTTTATGTATTGTGTGACAGTGATGCTAAAATTAAAGAGCGCAGGACCTTTCGGAGGAAATTTAACGCTACCACTCTGGACACATTTCAAATATTAACGAGAAATGAGGATTGGGTGCATGTTGGCATTTTGCAAGATTTAGATATTGGCCTAGACATTGTTTTTGATAACTTTTATGAATTGTTTAAATATATCTTTGATGTAAGCTTTCCTGCCTTAACCTGTAAGAATAGAAATTAACCTAGCTCTTCTTGGATTGGTAATGATGTTGTACTCTCGCATGAGACTCTTTTGCAAATGTATTGGGACACAAGGTCGCAGGGTTGTTCAGAAGATGTTAAAAGGGCCTACAGAAGGGCCAAACGGCAGCATTCGTCTCTTGTTACTATGACAAAAAAGTCTTATTTTAGTAATAGAATTCTAAGCTCAAAAAATACTAGTAAGGAGTCATGGGCTGTGGTCCGTGCACTTTGTGATGAAGATTATGAAACACATACTAACTTAAGCTTGAAAATTGATAATGTTGTTGTGACAAACCCCCAAACAATTGTAAATCACTTTTGTGAGTTCTTTTATGAGGAAATTTCTAGGTTGGCAAATGACAATTGTGCTCCTGAGCTCCCTGTTGACTTAGGTGAGGGACGCTTTTTTCTCACACATGCTACTGTTGCTGAGGTGAGGGAGGTGGTAAATTCACTGGGATCCAAGAAAAGTTCAGGTGTTGATGAGATACCATGCAGCCTCCTCAAGCTTTGTAATGAAAATGTTATTGAAGCCCTCGCAAATTTAATAAATAAATCCTTTGAAACTGGCTGTTTTCCTACAAAGTTAAAAACATCTAAAGTAGTACCTGTGTATAAAAAGGCTGATCCACTTGCCGTTAGTAATTATCGCCCGATTTCTGTGCAACCATGTATAGGAAAAGTATTTGAAATCATTTTTTTGAAGAGATTCCTTAGGTTTATAGAATTAAATAATATATTGACTGAGAGTCAGTTTGGGTTCCGAAAACATATGTCTACATCTGATGCTGTCTTTGCCCTCCTGAGGAACATCTATAACCACCTGGATCTTTCTGAGAGCCTTTTATGCCTGTTTTACGACATGACCAAGGCCTTTGACCTACTAAACCATAGTGTCCTGCTTCGTAAACTACTTTCCCTGGGAATTGCAGGAAGACCTCTGCATTGGATATTCTCTTATTTAAGAGACCCCAACCTGGTCGTATCACTCAAGCATTTGGGGAATGACAATACTCTACGCACATATAAGTCGGCTCCATCCCCTGCCATGAATGTGGGTGTCCCACAGGGATCAAACCTAGGGCCTCTATTGTTCTTGCTCTATGTTAATGACCTACCTGGCTCCATAACATCTGGGAATGTGTGGCTTTTTGCTGACGATGTATGTCACCTAATCTGTAACTCTGATCGTGTCAGTCTTATTGAAGATACTCAATCTAGTCTAATTGAAATGCAAAATTGGTGTAACGAAAACTGCTTGATCTTGAACTCTGATAAGACAAACCTTATAGAATTTTACAATAGGAAAAAACCTGAACCAGCTCCTCAACTAGTGCTAGATGGGGTTGCACTCACTTCCCGTGAAAAAGTAAAATATCTTGGCCTGCACATAACTGAAAATCTAAAGTGGGATGTACATATTAATTCAATAGCTTCAAGATTAAGATCTGTAATCAATTTAATTACTAGGCTCCAGAAATTGGTCCAGACTGACATTTTGTTAAAAGTTTATTATGGATGTTTTCACAGTATAATATCTTATGGAATAGTATTTTGGGGAGGTAGTACCATGGCCAATAGGATCTTTCTCCTCCAGAAACGAATTATTAGGAGAATGTATGGTGCTCAACGTCTTGCTCACAGTAGGCCCCTATTCAAGGACCTTGGAATTTCAACCCTCCCATCACTATTTATTTTAGAATCTGCCATCTTGGTGAGAAATAATCCGGACATCTTTTTCACAAACAATCTGGTCCATCAGTACAACACGAGAAGAGCTAATCAAGTACATGTACCCCAAGTTAACTCAACTTTGGCCAGCAAGAGCCCATATTTTAGTAGTGTCAAGATCTACAACTCACTGCCAAGGAACATTATCCAAGAGCAAAATTTCAATAAATTTAAGAAGATGTTAAAAGAATATTTATGTGAAGCGGCCTATTTTAAAGTAGAAGATTTGTTCAATTAGGCCTATTATTGTTTATCTACCCATTTGACGACCACGTTGCAGAAGCGATGCTAGTGGGACATCATCAAGTATCAAGTAAGTAAGTAAATGGTGTAAGGAAGTCCATATTGAGAAAATAGGTCATCCAGTGCATGTATCGTTGCTATTAGTGATGGTCGGATCTGGATATCGGACTACCGGATCCGCCGGATCTGAGCTAGAACCGACGCCCGATCGGATCCACAAAAAATCGGATCTTGGGCTGGATCCGGTTTTAATGGATCCAATTTTTTTATACTATTAACACAAAACAAGCGAGTATTCGAGATTTTGAGTTAGAGTAGAGTACGGCCTTGAAACTCGAGCTTATCTTTGAACTCTCCAGTTTCGAGTCAGTTTGGTTTAAAATTGTAAAAAATCAAAATTTGTTAAAATGTAACTTGTGTTTACATAAAATGATGGATAATTTGTATTACTGTAGATTCTACAGTATAGAAATAATACCCCCGCCGCAGCAAACCTGCAGACTAAGCGAATTTCCATTTCCCTGAATGGATTTAAACTAAAATGTCTCCTTAAAAATATCACATTTATTCCCTATTTAAATAGAATCAGTTTAAAACATACTTAGGTTTGCTGCAACAGGGAGGGTAAAAGTGTTTTTTATGTAAAATGTTAATAGTTAGTAAGAAATAAAAACATTTTCCAAATTTGGGCAAAATATGTTTATAAACAAGCAAACCACAACAGTTTACTTATTCTCCATAAGAATAACATGGAAATTTTAAATTTACAATTTTTTGGAATTTTCTCCGTAACCATTAGGCGCATTATAACGCTTCAATATACTAAATTATTTGTTTTTTTAAGCTCTACAAAATAGTTTCAAAAGAAATTGCAAAATGTTATGTTTTTAGGGTCAAAAATGGGAAAAACCCATTTTTACCCCATAAAAGCCCCCATAAACCCCCGTTCCCATGGTCCGATCATGCTGGATCGCGAACTCGTTTGAATAAACGTAGGTTTACACGTTTGTACCAAATTTCATCAAAATCGGATCATTTTTGCTCGAGTTATCGCGCTA